GCTCGAAGCAGGCCGTGGTGCAGCGCGTGACGCTGTTCCTGTGCAAAACAAAAAATGAGAACATCCGAGAAGCGATCTGTCACCTGCTGACTCAATCTGGGTGGACGCTCAATCTCGCTTCTAGGCCAGGCTTCTAGGTGAAAAAGCCTCTTTGATTGCACCTGAGGTTCTGCCATCTGAACAAAAATCCGGCAGCCAACCCGGCATGCCCGGAAACATCAAAAGACAGCTCCCCAAACCTACTGCAACCCGTCATGCCCCGTTGGCATCCGTTGGCCCCATGTCGCCTGAGTTGGACCAAGTCGTGACCCAGCGCCAACTTCGCTGCGACGTAAGCCAAGGGATATCCGGTGGCCTTGGATGCCAAGGCACTGCTACGGGAGAGCCTCGCGTTCACCTCGATGATGCGGAACTCTGAGCTGTGAGGATCCACGGCATATTGGATGTTACACTCGCCCACGATTCCTGGGAACCGGGGAAGCGGGAACGGAAGGCGGAACGCAAAGGGGACGCAAGGAGTGATGTTTTTGACATGGACAGCACCATGCTCGAACTTGTCAAAAGATTGCTGAGGTGGTGAAGTGGAAGGTACAACAGGGTGCAAGAGGGTGCCAGATACTTCTGGCCTCCCTACCTCCAACAGCTTAGCACGAAGCTACCATTAAATTCTCTGAAGCTGACTAAGCCTGACCAAGCTAAGTCTCCAAGATGTCGGATGATCTTCAGAGCACATTGGCGCAGCCGGTAGTACTCATCGTTGCTCAAAGTCTGCGAAGGTGCAATCACAATGGACTCACCTGTGTGGACACCCATTGGGTCGAAATTCTCCATGTTGCAGACAGTGATGCAGTTGTCGTTCTTGTCCCGCACCACTTCGTACTCGAGTTCTTTCCAACCCTTCCTGTGACGAGGGGCCAAAGTCCGACCAGAAAAGGAAGCACTAAACCTCTAAGTCAACACTCTGCACTGCAACCTTTCTCTGCATCCGGAAAAACATGCTTTCTGAGCTAGCAAAACACACCGAAATCTAGTTTGTCAGCTCTGTAAACAGGAAGAACAAAACTCATCTGTCATCTGTCTGAGATTCAAAGACTTGTCGATGATAACCTGTGGGCTGTTGACCAGCGCCACATTCACCAGCTTTTTCAAGTCCTCCTCATTGTATGCAAAGCCACTGCCCAAACCACCAAGTGCATAGGCTGCCCGGACCAGCACAGGGTATCCGATCTTTTCAGCCTTAGACTGCTTTCGCTCGGGATGCAGATGGAAAACACTGCAAAACAGGGGAAAAAAACACTTTGTGCATGCCTTCATATCACCATGTCTCCCATATCTTTCCTGAAGAATCACTTGCTTCAAGTAGTGTGTGCAGTTCTCAATGCAGAACTGTCCGAGATCCGGTTGTGGTGAAAGGATGTAGCAGGGATTAAAAGGGCATATTTGGGGTCTGCGTGCATCAAAGGCACTGCTTTGACTGCATCAGGAACAGAGTCGCAGCATGAGCTTTCAGCAATTTTCTCACCACAGGCATCGACCACCTGAAGAAGAGTCAAGAGATGCTTGTGGCATCTTGTGTCTCCTCCACCCGGCTCATGTTCCTTGTTATATTTCACGTCTTTGCACATCGTCATACATTGTTCCACGTTTCTACATCTATGTTGGCATATGTTGGCAGTAGTTGTCAGCCAAGCTCCTGAAAAACCTTTCACACTGGTGAAAGAAATTCAGAATTGAATGCATGCAAATGGAATGTGATTCAATGCGCAAAGACTGGTTGAAGTTTGGGTCGCAAGTCACCTTGCTGAAGAGATCTCGGTCTTCTGTCTTCATGATGGCATCGATCTGAGTTCCTCAGTCCCAAAATGCTTTGGTCAGCGTGGAGGGAACTAGTGTCATTGCAGAAAGACAGATACACATAGATGCACAAACCAGGTGTTCAGAGAGTCAAGAAGTCATCATTGACAATCTACACGCGCAAATTCGGAACACGCGATTGGAATACTCGATCTAGTCCTATCAAGCAACAAATGCACCAACTACTCCAAGGAGCCAAGTACCTTGACGTTATACTTTTCGAAGACCCCTGCTTGGTACAACTTTACCGCGCAGTTCAAGGCCGTCTGCCCACCAAAGGCTGCAAAAATGCCATCTGGCTTCTCACGCTCAATGACTTTGACGACAAATTCTGGAGTCACAGGCAGAAAGTACACACGGTCAGCCATTCCGGCGGATGTCTGAACTGTGGCAATGTTGGGGTTGATCAAAATCGACATCACGCCAGCTTCCTTGAGTGCCTTGATGGCCTGACTTCCAGAATAGTCAAATTCTCCTGCCTGTCCAATGGTCAGTCCGCCAGAGCCCAACACTAAGACTTTGCGGTACAGAGTTGGCAGTGAGTATGGCATTGTGGTCACCACCGAAGCAGTTGGTTCAGCAATGAATTGCAGAAAGTAGTTGAACAGGAAATCCGTGTCCGTTGGACCACCTTTCGCTTCTGGATGAAATTGCACAGAGAACCACGGCTTGGAGGAGTGAATGATGCCTTCATTGGTTCCATCGTTGGCATTGACCTTGGCTACAAGTCATGCGGTCGTTTCGCACAGGAAAGAAAAAGTGAAACATGCCGCCTTATGAATCATAAAAAAAGAACTAAACAGAACGTTCCATCTATATAAGCCAATAGCAATTGACCATGAGCGGAACCCAGTGCTGTGGCAACGTAGTTTGGTCCACGGCAAAGCCATGGTTCTGGGCGGTGATGTAGCAGCGCTGGGTTCGGAGATCGACCACCGGCTGGTTCATGCCACGATTCCCAAACCTACCAGGCGGACTGATTGAATTCATGTTGTGCAAAGCAAAGGCAACTACATACCTAGCTACCTGAATTCGACTAATGCTGCAGTTTACAATGTACTTATATAGATGTGAGAAAAATACTTGCAGTATCAGCACACGTTGCTTGTGCCATGCTGCCCGAATCTGAAAGGGATCTGACTTGATGTTCTCAAATGCACTTGAAGGACGCCCACAAATGCCCAATCGGTTCATTTATCAGTTTGGTGGGCACCCAAAGCGATGGTATTCAACAGCTTGGCAAGTTTAGGAAAGCTGCATGGGGAGCCACACTTCACCTGCTGAATCTTCCGAGTGCCTCATCTTGTAGGTAGAGGCCCCAGCTGCCAACGCCAAGATCTGATTTCCCAAGCAAATGCCGAAAATTGGTGTGTCAGGTCGATGCTTCATGACCTCAGAAAATCGAGGAATTTCTTCAATTTTTTCAAACGTTCACAAATCTGTCCCTCTTCTGTCAGCGGATCCTTTGCATCGAATTTGAGGATTTTTTTTCCAAGAAGGAACAAAACAAACAAGTATACCTAGTCAAAAGTCAAGATCTTAAATGCCTTAAGACAAGCGCTGAAAGCGAACTAAGGCTGTATCTAAGGGGTTCTAAGGCCAAGGAACATACTTCACATGTTCCACAGTCTTGGCGCACATCGTGGGGTCGCCTGGGCCGTTAGAAAGAAATAACCCATCGAAGGAATCTTGCGTGAAGTCATAGTCCCACGGCACCACAGTGACTCGCAGCCCAAGCCCGTTGACCAGGTACCTGGCACCAACTTGAGAATTGCAGCCCTTTCAGGCCTTCAAGTGAGGCGACAAATGATTAGCCGAAACAAATTCAACATCTCGCAAAATTGATTGGCCATTGGTCATGTATTTCATGTTGTTGTGATTCCACCGTCATGGGGTTGCATGTACTGACGTCTACTGTATTTGTTATATAAATTTAAAAGGTGCATGAGGGCAGCTGCTGAGCCTGATGATGTTGTTCTTCATACCGCAATCCACGGCCAAGACATGAACCTGTCTTTTCGACGCTTCCACAGGCACGAAGACTTCCTTCTCCTTCCTTGAGACTTCTGCTACCAGGTTCCGGTGGTTTGGGTCATCAATTTCCAAGTTTACTGAAGGTGTGCTCCCTTGCACTACCAATTTCCCCAGCATTGAGCCACTTTCGCGGATCACTTTGGTGATGGCACGGGTATCCACTCCATAGATACCCGGGATGCCCTGAGAGGACAGCCACTCACCGAGACTGCGGATGCAGCTGTAGTGCGATGGTTCATAGGAGTAGTCGGAAATGACCACGCCCTTCAAATGGATCCTGAACTGTGCGCGTGCATCATGTTCGACACTTCAAACCTACAAATGCTCAATTAGCACGCAAATGTCGAATCTATGTATGTGCATCCATGTGTATACAAATACGCATACACATACATTAAATAAATAATTAAATAAAAATAACATGAAAAAAACAAGAACAACAAGTCAAGGCGAGGAGCTTGTGGCTCTCGAACCATTTGGGCAATCCAAGCTGGTCCTTTTCATCGGAAGGAATCCCATAGTTTCCCACCAAAGGGTACGTGAAAACGAGGATCTGCCCCGCATACGATGGATCTGTGAGGGATTCGGGATATCCCACCATTCCTGTGTTGAACACAACCTCACCAGACACTGATGTGCTTGCACCAAAGGAGTAACCCTGCATCATGGTGCCATTTGCGAGTTCCAAGTCGCATTTACGACGATCGTTCAACCATTGAAGAAGGTCCTTGGTGTCTCCGTTGACTGGTTTCGTGTCCATAGGACCCCCACCGTTCACAAAGTCCAAACCCATCTTGGACTTCCGAAGACTAAGGTGAGGTGTGTGGAACGAACTCGCAGTATGCTTGAAGAACCGAAATGGCTGCGAATTCAAATTTGCATCTGGTCACTGCCATGCACCTGACTGAGAAGTAGCATGAAGAAAGAAAGTGCATGTGTGTCAAGGCAAATTGTTGCCAGCACGGCTCTCAAGTCGCAACCATTCGGAAACCGATCAGTATTGAACCCGGATGGTGTAACCAACCACAAGGCCCTGGAGGCCTGTGGCTGGAGGAGAAATAAACTGCTTTCAGACGCTCAAAGCACAACTTGAACTGTTGAATTAACTTATTGCATAGATCACTGAAAGCAGATTTAACGCAGGATTAGGGTGCTTTGCCCATGAACTCACGCCACACTCAGCCCCAAGGCCTGCCAGCACGCGAATTTTCAACATCTGAATCTGAATTCGCCCAGGTGCAATGCTGTCCTGCTGGCCCAGCACTCCAGCCACACCCAAGAAGTAGCCCGCGAGCGCAGCAGGTCCAATGCTCTTCACATACCTGAAGTCGAGATCATCAATACCAAAATGTGCAATGTGTATGTAACTAGATTATATTATATATATATAATATATTATATATATAATATTATATATATATGTATATATATAATATTATATATATATATATGTATGTATATATATAATATTATATATATATGTATGTATATATATGTATTATAATTATACATCAATCAATGCCACTAAGGTCGCCGCAATGCATTTTGGATTCCCTTTGGGTCTGTATCTGCATGCTCCGTCCAGTCAAGTTACCATCCGAAGGAGACTTTCCTCTCCATACCCATGAAGGCAACTCCTCATTGCGACGCGGTGAACAAAACAGAAGGATGAAGAGAGAAACATGCTTCTAGTCGATTCTAGTCGATTCTAGTCGATTCTAGTCCCACTCGGGAAAAATAGCAATTTCCTCAACCTTCGATTTGCACCCCAAATAAGAAGGCCTGCTGCGGATCCGATGACCAAGAGTGAGCCACCGGTTGCAGCACAGTACCTTCGGCTTCAAACAATGTCAAGAAAAAATGAAATTTAGATTGTTAAACCCTCGGTTGTGTTCGTTGGGACATTAGCATTTTACACGGATGTAAAATGCACATTGATGCAGAATGCAAGCTACTCGTTGTTCATGAACGCTTGAGCCACAGCTCAAAGAAAAGCAAGCCGCTTGGTCAAAAGGATCTCACTGCGCTGGCCGCTGGCTCACGTGATCAGATTCCACAGGCCATCGTTGGAAGGATGTTGACCCAGATCGTACATTCCCTGTCACATCTGCGCTCTTGTATCCCAAATATGTAGAAGACGCATGGAGCAGCCAGTGATGCTTTGTGAATGCCAGGATACAGAAGGGTTCCCAGAAGAATCTTACAACATGTGGCTCTGTTCATCTGTTCCTCACGCGTTAGAAAAATAGGAGAAGGCTTAGGACTTAGGAATAATTGGGACATTCGTTGTAAAAGGGCTTCCATTGGAAAGACTGGAAACCTTTTGACAACGACTGCATCTACAAGGCATTCTTTGGAAGCGCCTGAGCAGCAGCAACTAATGGAACATTGTCGACGATGGCGGATGCAAAGCCAAGGAAAATTGCAACCTCAACAGATTGCAACCATCAGGGAGTGGATTCAAGCCAACCTTTTCAAATGTTCTATGTCATTCTAATAGCTTGAATATATCTTGAATATTCTTGAATATTCTTGAATGCCTCAGTTCCCAAATGCCCAACTCAGGTGGCTACCAATGCATCGTATGGTACAAGGGCGCTCAACTGCACGGCAAATTCCTCGAAGTTCCACAAGATTTACGGCAAGTTTCGCAAGTTTCATGGTCACTTTGCAGGGTCACTTTGCAGGGTGCCTTCAGAAGTCCCACTCGCTCGAGACCGCCAACAGCAAAGAGAACACCAAGGAAAAAGAGGGCATCAGGCACCTGCACGGATGCACAACACATGGCTGGTGACCAAACAACCAAGAATTTCATGAGAGTTTTCCGTGGCTAAGAATGAATCCAGGCGTTTAATCTGTCAGGCCTCAACACGGGTAAGCGCACCCTTCAAGGAGTATTTTTCATCCTCTGGGCCATGCAGCCTGACAGCTTCAGCAAACTTCAGAATATCAAGCACAGGGGCCACAGGGGCCACAGGGGCCACAGGGGCCACATGGGCCACAGGGGTCACAGGCACAGCTGACACAGCTGAGGATCCCGCAAAGAAGTGATCAGGCCAAGCAAACCCAAAACCAGCATCATCCTGGGGATGTTCAAACCGCAACAACCTATCAGCGTCGCGAGTCCACGGATCGGCCAACGACTGGATACGTCGGTACGACTGAGGCGGAGACCCGCTCCATGCAGGGCATTGCGTGAGAGCCTGGCGACATGCGAATCAGTGGTGCTCGCAGCTCGCAGCTCGCGTCTCAATGTGAGTTGAGTACAGTTGAGATCAGTTGAGATCAGTTGAGTATGTCTCAACAATTCTCAACAATTCTCAACATGTCTGAGCCACCGTGAAGACGGGCACAGTGATCATGCCGAAGAGACCACCCCAGAACACAACTGCCTTGGTCAGGCTACAGCCGCATTGATTGCATGATCCAGTGATTCACTGAGCTGAGCAGTTGACCTGGCCATTTGGCACATCATCATCCTGAAACACGACATCGACGACATCCAAAGATTCTGTTAACAGCAACAAGGGGCTTACTACTAGGGCCTCGGTAGAAGCAGCATCCCGATCGAAGGGCTTATCTTCCATCTGAATGTATTCATAGCCTGGCTTCTTGAACAACGGTCACAACGGTCACCCAAAAGTTTGCGGCCGCTGACTTTGCCACGTGCAGTCAATGCAGTCTCCTATCTTTGGGCGCCTAGAGTGCCCACCAAGCAGAGCACGCTGGGGACGAAAAGGTTGGCGAGCAACGGAACCGTGGTAACCTCGAGCCCATCAAGACCCCATGCAGAAAAAAGGGATGCCAGGGATGAGCATTGGATCATTAATTTGGATCATGGCAGCGCATGTGCCTGGCCTGTCCGCCAATATAGAGCATGGTTGTAGTGATGTCGCCAATAGGCGTCCTGCCGCGGGACTGCAGGTGTTCCAGGTGTCAGGATGGACAAGGACAGTGGTGAGACTGTAAGACGCTGCAAGAGACTTCGGTCCATGCTCCCCCAGCGTTTGAAGCAACCACCACCAGACCGCCAAGCTTCATGCGGAAATCCTCATCCTGCGGGCCCAATCGAAAATGTTCTGAAGCGATTACAAAGAAATGATTTGGCTTCGTCTTGCACGGAAGCTCCATCAGAGAACTCCTCTAGATTCCCAATTGTTTAACAGAAAAGTTACGTACGTGCCCTGTACACACCTTCACGAGCTTCTGAAGCAGAGAGATCTCGGACGACCAGAAACCAGTATGCAGAATGCTATGCTGCAGTATGCTGCAGTATGTTCATCCCTCGCAACCATGAACTCGCTAGCATCAAACCATCAAGACATAGGACATAGGCTGAGCCCAGCACCATGACAATGACAACGGTCAAGTTGTTCAACACGGATGAAAGCACGAAAGTAAGGACACCGATGATGATCTCAGTTGAGAAAATCAAGGAGTAAAATGCAATCGAAAGACAAAGGCCTTTGATGTGGTTTGGAATGAAACCATCCAGGTCCAAAGTACGAAAGGCCTAGAGTTTTTGTTTGGAGTCAACAAGCAAACACTGCAAGCAAAGCAACACCAACAGGAACATTGATCAAAATTGAAGGTTGAGTTCGACACCAGCAACTCCTTCTGGGTCTTGGCCTGAATAGCCTTTGTGATAATGTCAAAGCCTGGGCATTTTGACAAAAGAATCCACGCCGTCACCGGAAGGTACAGCAGATAGAGATACTTAGAGCACATCGCCACTATTGCACTGATCACCCGTCACTACCCCCTCCTTTGTGTGCATCCATGATCTCCACAATGGTCAAAGCACCCAGAAGGAAAAACACCACCTGTCAACATCTGTCACGTCGTCGGGTTGAAAAAAAATGCAACGCTCACAAGAGCTGAAAACGGCAACGGCAACGCCTCAGAGACATCCTCCAAAGTCTCCCTGAGGTCAGGGAACATCAAAATTGCTGGCACAACGGGCAGGATCAATTACTCACTTCACAAGATTCAGAAAAAAAAAGTTGAGATGAAACAAGTGATGAGTCAGGAATGTCTGTTTGACACATTCAATCATAAGACATAAGCTATGAATAAGCCATACAAGTCCTGCGTTTGTTGCAACTGACAGCATCCTCCGACACTGAGAATCAGGCTTGATGGCGATGTCAAAGTTGGCGGCAGACATATCAACACCAGTTCCGACCAAAGCCCACACCTCCAGTATCAGCATCATCAGTATCATCAGTATCATCAGTATCTAAATAGCTCTAAGTTGACGTACCACCATTGGGTCACCGAGACTCGCGCCAGGACGCCTAGCACCAAGGCAGTAGCAGCCTGCACTTGAGATTCGACCAGTCACGTGACAAAAAAGCACCAAGACCTTTCTGAAATTCAGCTACTCAGCGACTCAGCTACTCAGCTGCTCTTGACTTGTCGCTGCCACTAGCTTTCCCATTTTTCTATTGAAGCAATGGTGTCAGCTGGTGAAACGGGCGATACAGACTCGATACTCCCCATCAGCAGCGCAGGGTCTGCCCAGCTTGAGGAAAAGCCTCCACCGAGCAAACACAAGGGCGGGGCTCCAAAGCCACATATTGATTGAGAACTGCAAAGCAAATCAAATGATGTCAAATTTTGTTCTACATCTACATTTATATAATTGTTTAATAAATATATATATATACAACTAAATACAAATATGTATAAATATGTTTAGATTTATACAGAAGTATACAAATACATATGAATAAATATAAATATAGTTTTATATATTTATATAAATATATTTATAAGTATATATATATAATATGTATAAATATATATATATATATGTATATATATAAATATATATATATGAAAAAAATATATGTATATATATATTATATATATATATGCAAGTTTGGCTGCTGTTTCTCCACTCTCAGATGCTTTCAAATATACACAGACATGTCTGATGCCACCTTCCTGTACGTTTCGCTGCTTCGTAAGCTGGCTCTAAACAAGCCCGAAAAGGGGAAAGGATTTCAGCAGCAGCTAAAGGTAGAGGAGACATCAGGGTGGGCCGTGTTTTGGGACTCTAAACTGCCAGCATTAACACCAGCATGCAAAGACATGAAGGTTTGGCTGCTGTTTCTCCACTCTCAGATGTTTTCAAGTGTGCACAGACACATCTGATGCCATCCTCCTGTACGTTTTGCTGCTTCGTAAGCTGACTATAAACAAGCCAGACAAGGGGGGAAAAAATCCGCCGACCCCGGCAGACGCAAGGGGGAGCGCGCCAGGGAATAAGACATTTGACCCTTGTCGGACTACTACTACTACTACTACTACTACCACTACTACTACTACTACTACTACTACTACTACTACTACTACTACTACTACTAGGACTACGAGTACGACTACGGCTACGACTACGAGTTTCGAAAAAGATGTCTGGCTGTTGGTTTCTCGCCTTGGAGGCTGTTGTTTCGCAACCGCTCGCTAGGAGTTTGTTGTGGAGCCGTTGCCCGCAGGCCGTCCTTCAGGGCCACTGTGTTTCCCTGTCCGGCAGCGTGCGTTTTCAGCTTCGGGAGGAAGAGCAGCAGCAGCAACAGGAGCAGCAGGAGGGTTCTATGTCTCACTATGTCTCATTGTACAAACAGCGGTACAAAAAACGGTCGAAAACTATTGTTTTTCTAGGGTTTCAGAAGGGACGTTAGGCAGTTTTTGGGCTCGATTTTGGCGCCGTTCCGTCCTTCAGGGCCACTGTGTTTCCCTGTCCGGCAGCATGCGTTTTCAGCTTCGGGAGGAAGAGCAGCAGCAGCAACAGGAGCAGCAGGAGGGTTCTATGTCTCACTATGTCTCATTGTACAAACAGCGGTACAAAAACTGGTCGAAAACTATTGTTTTTCGGCAGGGTGCGTTTTCAGCTTCGGGAGGAAAAGCAGCAGCAGCAACAGGAGCAGCAGGAGGGGTCTATGTCTCACTATGTCTCATTGTGCAAACAGCGGTACAAAAAATGGTCGAAAACTATTGTTTTTCTAGGGTTTCAGAAGGGACGTTAGGCAGTTTTTGGGTTCGATTTTGGCGCTGTTCCGTCCTTCAGGGCCACTGTGTTTCCCTGTCCGGCAGCGTCCGTTCTCAGCTTCGGGAGGAAGAGCAGCAGCAGCAACAGGAGCAGCAGGAGGGTTCTATGTCTCACTATGTCTCATTGTACAAACAGCGGTACAAAAACTTGTCGAAAACTATTGTTTTTCTAGGGTTTCAGAAGGGACGTTAGGCAGTTTTTGGGCTCGATGTTGGCGCTGTTCCGTCCTTCACGGCCACTGTGTTTCCCTGTCCGGCAGGGTGCGTTTTCAGCTTCGGGAGGAAGAGCAGCAGCAGCAACAGGAGCAGCAGGAGGGTTCTATGTCTCACTATGTCTCATTGTACAAACAGCGGTACAAAAAATGGTCGAAAACTTTTGTTTTTCTAGGGTTTCAGAAGGGACGTTAGGCAGTTTTTGGGCTCGATTTTGGCGCCGTTCCGTCCTTCAGGGCCACTGTGTTTCCCTGTCCGGCAGCGTGCGTTTTCAGCTTCGGGAGGAAGAGCAGCAGCAGGAGGAGCAGCAGGAGGGTTCTATGTCTCACTATGTCTCATTGTGCAAACAGCGGTACAAAAACTGGTCGAAAACTATTGTTTTTCTAGGGTCTCAGAAGGGACGTTAGGCAGTTTTTGGGCTCGATTTTGGCGCTGTTCCGTCCTTCAGGGCCACTGTGTTTCCCTGTCCGGGAGGGTACGTTTTCAGCCTCGGGAGGAAGAGCAGCAGCAGCAACAGGAGCAACAGGAGGGTTCTATGTCTCATTGTAGAAACAGTGGTATAAAAATTGGTCGAAAACTATACAAAACCTTGTCCAAAACTATATTGTTTTTCTAGGGTTTCAGAAGGGACGTTAGGCAGTTTTTGGGCTCGATTTTGGCGCTGTTCCGTCCTTCAGGGCCACTGTGTTTCCCTGTCCGGCAGCGTGCGTTTTCAGCTTCGGGAGGAAGAGCAGCAGCAGCAACAGGAGCAGCAGGAGAGTTCTCTGTCTCACTATGTCTCATTGTACAAACAGCGGTACAAAAAATTGTCGAAAACTATTGTTTTTCTAGGGTTTCAGAAGGGACGTTAGGCAGTTTTTGGGTTCGATTTTGGCGCTGTTCCGTCCTTCAGGGCCACTGTGTTTCCCTGTCCGGCAGCGTCCGTTCTCAGCTTCGGGAGGAAGAGCAGCAGCAGCAACAGGAGCAGCAGGAGGGTTCTATGTCTCACTATGTCTCATTGTGCAAACAGCGGTACAAAAACTGGTCGAAAACTATTGTTTTTCTAGGGTTTCAGAAGGGACGTTAGGCAGTTTTTGGGCTCGATTTTGGCGCTGTTCCGTCCTTCAGGGCCACTGTGTTTCCCTGTCCGGCAGCGTGCGTTTTCAGCTTCGGGAGGAAGAGCAGCAGCAGCAACAGGAGCAGCAGGAGGGTTCTATGTCTCACTATGTCTCATTGTACAAACAGCGGTACAAAAAATGGTCGAAAACTATTGTTTTTCTAGGGTTTCAGAAGGGACGTTAGGCAGTTTTTGGGCTCGATTTTGGCGCCGTTCCGTCCTTCAGGGCCACTGTGTTTCCCTGTCCGGCAGCGTGCGTTTTCAGCTTCGGGAGGAAGAGCAGCAGCAGCAACAGGAGCAGCAGGAGGGTTCTATGTCTCACTATGTCTCATTGTACAAACAGCGGTACAAAAAATGGTCGAAAACTATTGTTTTTCTAGGGTTTCAGAAGGGACGTTAGGCAGTTTTTGGGCTCGATTTTGGCGGGGGCCCACTGTGTTTCCCTGTCCGGCAGCGTGCTTTTTCAGCTTCGGGAGGAAGAGCAGCAGCAGCAACAGGAGCAGCAGGAGGGTTCTATGTCTCACTATGTCTCATTTGTACAAACAGCGGTACAAAAAATGGTCGAAAACTATTGTTTTTCTAGGGTTTCAGAAGGGACGTTAGGCAGTTTTTGGGCTCGATTTTGGCGCTGTTCCGTCCTTCAGGGCCACTGTGTTTCCCTGTCCGGCAGCGTCCGTTCTCAGCTTCGGGAGGAAGAGCAGCAGCAGCAACAGGAGCAGCAGGAGGGTTCTATGTCTCACTATGTCTCATTGTGCAAACAGCGGTACAAAAACTGGTCGAAAACTATTGTTTTTCTAGGGTTTCAGAAGGGACGTTAGGCAGTTTTTGGGCTCGATTTTGGCGCTGTTCCGTCCTTCAGGGCCACTGTGTTTCCCTGTCCGGCAGCGTGCGTTTTCAGCTTCGGGAGGAGAGCAGCAGCAGCAACAGGAGCAGCAGGAGGGTTCTATGTCTCACTATGTCTAATTGTACAAACAGCGGTACAAAAAATGGTCGAAAACTATTGGATTGTAGTCATATATCGTAACCGAATACATATACAGCGATATATGCTGCCAGGCTGGAACCAAGAAGGATGCAGCCCGCCCTCACCATTTGGGAATGTGGATAGATATGGATCGATATGGAGGATATGGTACAATGTGAGTCAGCCTGGAACAAAAAGACAGAGACATAGACAGATGCACACTGACAATGAAACACACACATATATATATATATGAATATATATATAATATGAATATATATATATATATAATATGAATATATATATATGATATATATATATATATCTATTAAATATACACAGATCTATGATTCTATCTATCCATCTACCTACCTACCATTACCTGCCACTACCTGCCTATCTATCAAACTATCTAGCTATCTATCTATCTATCTAACTATCTATCTATCTATCTATCAATCTATCTATCGACCTATCTATCTATCGATCGATCTATCTATCTATCTATCTCCATCTATCTATCGATCGATCGATCTATCTCTATCTATCCATCTATCGAATCTAGCAAGCCTGCAGACCATCTATCTATCTATCTATCTATCTATCTAACATCCTCGATGTCGAATGCCGATGTTTACCTGCACATTAAAAATGACAATGTCGACCCTAGCCGTTCCATGGCTTTTTGTGACCTGGTGTTGTCAGCCCCTGAAAATTTCAGTCATTTGAGATCCCAAATGAAAAATCCTCAAGCACAAGCCTGACTGTCCAGCAACACTATGTCAGAATGCAACATAAACAAACATTAAAAAAACATCCAAAATATATTGCCTCGCTCTGGTGAAATTTAACTATATATATATATCTCTCTCTCTCTCTATCTCTCCTCTCGTATCATGGCTATGGAAAAGCCACCAACTTGAGCTGTGTGAAAACACAGCGCAAACCTCTTTTTTTTCTCCGGGGTCGGCGGCAGGGGCGGCAGCCCTTAAATA